ATAAATGTGCGCTATTAGGTGCATATCCAATCATTTGTGCGGAGAGTGGAAGCTGAAGCGCGCTTCAGGACATCAGTGGAAACAAATAAAATACGCTGTCATTTTTGCTCATAAAGGTAAGAATAATACATCGTTCGGATGCACCGAAATGCATCACAAAAATGCACCGAAACTCAGCGAATATTTTCCTTACAGACTTGATGAATATATCTATAGAAAGCTTTAAATGACTACAAAACGAAATAATTCAAATCCAAAACAAAAACTCTTATTATTATGTAATCCGTAAAGATGCATTTCTTTCTAAAGGCGCGTCCAATGATGAGATGGCGAGTCAGGATCATCAACTTCATAGCGACACTGACTCATAAAACACTAGTTTATTAATAAATAATTCAAATATCTCCTTACTATTTTTACCCAACATAGTCATGGTAATTTTTGCAGCAAGCTTTAGCCTATTTAGCGTGCTCACGTCACGTTGCTGTGCGCCATGGTCATGAAAACTCATCATTTGCATGTGTTTTTAAGCATTGTGGTTTAAAAACAAGTGATTTAAGCCACTGAAACGCAAACAACAGCACTATATGCGCGAACTGTCTGTTTCTGAGCGTGATTTCTGCAATTGGGTCGGATCGAGGTCGGGTCATATTCACACCGTAAACGACCAGTACCAGAGTTAGGTTGGAAGCGGACCGAGACCACCTCTTCAGCTGGGTCTCGGTACGGTTGTTTGGTCCGCACCAAAGAGCGATTTGCTCCACTTACCTGGTTTTAGAAAGTTTGTCCCATTTTCTCAGCAGATCTTCAGTTCAGGTATTTCATTTTGATATTTCTCCATCAATCCTGCATGTTGACTGGTGGAAAAAAAATCAACCTGTTATTCTGTAAAATCTGTTACAAACAGTCTGGATAAAATAAAATAATTTTACTTTTAATTCATATATTAACTATGGCATCTAACTCCACGTGGGGTGTCTTATTTATACCATCTGAGTTAGATTAATATCTACAGAAAGGGTTTAGACATCATCTGAACTCATGCTGTAATTTATCCTCCAGAACAGACAGAATCAATAAATATTCTCCTCAAGAGGACAGGAAGATACTGTGACACGTGAACTTATGAGATGAACCACTGGACCACACTCTGTGAGTGACAGTTGAGGAGTCATTTTTAGCTGTGAGTGACAGGCACACATACAGGTGGGACACACACACACACACACACAACTGTGCCGTGACCTTGGGAGTAAATTCTGTTCCATATACCTCACACATACAGTTGGAAAAGGAAAATATCATCATAGAATGTTGCTTGTTTTTTTTTTGTATGATCTTCCAGGAGATGTGTGTGTGTGCATATTTTTGTATTTATTTTAGTGTCCTATATACTGTATGTGTTCTCTATATGTGCAGTGAAAAAAAAACGTTTATCCCTTGCCCTCACCCAACAGATGTGTATAGAGTGGGGGAATTCGTTGGCTTCACCGCACAAAGGACTGCACTGGACCTTTTTAACTATATTTAATTCGCTAATCTAGTTAACTAGTTTCAATCCCATTATCACTAACTGAGCTGTGTAGCCTTTAGCATCCATACTTAACTTTACTACATGACTTAGTTCAGATGTTTTCAAATTGGTGTTGTAACGATGAGTCTGAAGAGTGAGGATCCATTTGCAGTTTATTTGACAACAGAACAATAAAGACAAACAGCCGTGAAGGCGAGATGAGGGCGTAAACAGTACAGGCTAAGATCGGGGCAGGCGGCATAGAATCACAGTCCAATAAACAGATACAGGTCAAGGCAGGCGGCAGAGAATTACAGTTCAATAAACAGATACGGGTCAGGGCAGGCGGCAGAGAATCCAGAAACGAGAAACAGTCCAGGTCACAACAGAATTACCAATCCACAACGAAGAAACGCTCAGAGATGATCACCTAGGCAAATCAAGACTTCGCAAGGATGTGTGTGGTGTGCTTATATGTAGTGAGTGTGATGACTATATGAAACTCTTCTATGAGAGAGGGGTTGAGGATGTCCTCTGATGTGACCCAGGATCGCTCCTCCGGTCTGTACCCCTCCCAGTCAACCAAATACTGGAGTACTCTACCCCGGCGCCTGGAATAGAGCAGCTCTCGAACTTGGTATGCCTCCTCGCTGTCAACCAGGATGGGTGGGGGGTTATGGACCTCGGCTCCCTCCTCCGGCTCTCCTCTCAGACCATCAGCAGGTTTCAGCAGAGATACATGAAATGTGGGAGAAATATGGTAATTAGCGGGCAAGTCTAAACTAAATGAAACTGGTGTAATTTGTCTTAGAATCTGGAAAGGACCCACATACCTAGGACTGAATTTTCTACATGAAAGTCTGAGACATAGATCTCTGGCAGACAACCAGACCCACATCCAGGGGCGTATTGATGATGATTGGCTTGTTCCTCCTGTCTTCTTACCGCACGTTGAAGATGGGTGTGTGCCCGGTTCCAAGTTTCTTCACTTCGTTGAAGCCATTCAGTGACAGAGGGAAGATTGGATGGTTCTCCTTACCAAGGAAACAGAGGTGGTTTATAGCCTAGAATGCACTTGAAGGGAGTTAAGCCGGTTGCTGGTTTCTGAAGGGAGTTTTGTGCGTACTCAGCCCACATGAGGTATTTGTTCCAATCTACCTGGTTCTGTTGACAGTAGGTTCTCAGGAAACGAGTAAGTTCTTGGTTTAGGCGTTCAGTCTGTCCATTGGATTGGGGGTGGTAACCAGATGTAAGACTGATATTCACATTAAGTTGTTTGAAGAATGAAGACCAGTCTCTGGATGTGAATTGAGGACCACGGTCTGATACAATGTCCTCTGGAAGACCATAGAAGCGAAAGACATAATTGCACAGGATCTCGGCTGTCTCAAATGCCGTGGGAAGCTTTGGCAGGGGAATTAAGCGACATGCTTTGGAGAATCGATCAATTACAGTTAATACAGTGGTGTTACCTTGAGAAATGGGGAGATCTTTGACAAAGTCGATGGTGATATGGGACCAGGGGCGTTGAGGAATGGGTAGTGGCTGAAGTAGACCTGTGGGTAGTTGTCGTGGAGACTTGGATGTATTGCAAGCGGCACAGGCATTTACAAATGTGATTGTATCTGTGGACATAGCAGGCCACCAAAATCAGTTCTTTAGTAGCTGGATAGTAGCATTTATACCAGGGTGACCTGAGCTGAGAGAGGTGTGCACCTGATGCAAGAGCTTATCCCGGAGAGATTCAGGAACGTAAGTGAGTTCAGGTGGACAATTCGGCGGAGGAGGATTCTGCCTGTTAATCTGATCAATTTCTGTCATGACGTCCCACTGTACTGGTGCAACGAGCAAAGTCTCTGGGATAATGTTCTCTTCGATCTCGGGGTAATTAGTTTGATCCGTCTGTCTGGATAGTGCATCGGCTTTGATATTCTTGGTGCCTGGTCGGTAAGTGACTGTGAAATTGAATCTTGTAAAGAACATTGCCCATCTTGCCTGCCTAGGTTTCAGTCGTTTGGCAGAGCGTAAATATTCCAAGTTGTTATGGTCGGTCAGAACAGTGAACGGATGTTGAGCTCCCTCTAGCCAATGACGCCATTCCTCCAGAGCTGCCTTCATGGCTAGAAGTTCGTGAGTGCCTACATCGTAATTCCGTTCGGCTGAGGATAGTTTCCTTGAATAAAAGGCACATGGGAACATTTTGGCTGGATTACCTTGACGTTGTGACAGTACTGCTCTGATACCCGTGCTAGAAGCATCGACCTCCACAATGAAGGGGATACTGGGATCTGGATGATGGAGAATTGGCGCAGATGTGAATCTTATCTTGAGTTCCTGAAAGGCTAGTAGAGCTTCCGGGCTCCAAGAGAGATGGGAGGTGGAGAGTTATGTCATGGCAGTTAAAGGAAATTTCTAATGAATCGTCTGTAGAAGTTGGCGAACCCCAGAAATCGCTGTAATTCCTTGACTGTGCGAGGTAGAGGCCACTGCAGTACCCTGACCTTGCTCTCATCCATGGCCACGCCCTCCTGACTGATGATATAGCCGAGGAATGAGGTGGAAGTCTGATGAAACTCACATTTCTCAGCCTTGGCATATAGCTGGTACTGAATGCGGTGTTTTAGGACAGATCTCACGTGTTGAAGGTGTTCTGTTAGAGTGTTAGAATAGATCAGAATATCGTCAATATATACAATTACCCATCGGTCTAGCATATCACGGAACACATCATTGATGAAAGATTGGAACACTGAGGGACTGTTGGACAGGCCGAACGGCATAACTGAGTATTCATAGTGGCCTGTGGAAGTAGAGAATGCCGTCTTCCATTCATCTCCCTCCTTGATTCGGATCAAATTAAAGGCACTACGTAGGTCTAGCTTAGTGAATTATTTGGCCTGACGGAGCTGCTCAAGGGCGGAAGGAACTAGAGGTAAGGGGTACCTGAACTTGACAGTTGACATTGAGTCCGCGGTAATCAATACAGGGTCACTTGTGACAGGTGTTAGCTAGTAAAACCCCTAACTCCAACAAACGAGTGTACCGCGAGTCGCGACCAAACTGTTTTAATGGCTCATTAGTGGAATTATCAAACGCGCTCACCCAAACGCTCCTTTCTCCCATATAGAGTCGAAAAGTCAGCTTATTTCAAGAGAAATTGGCTGATTCCAAACGTTTCTCTCTCTTTCATTCTAGTGAAACGGTTATCCGATGAAGAGTCCGATTCATTCTACTGATTCATTTTTACTGATTCGTTCTCACTTGGCGGTTCAACTTCATATGTGTGACGTAATCGATAAATAGCAGATGGCGCTTCATTTGGTCTCTGGTGTTTGTTTGTTTGTTTGTTTGTGTAGTTTTTACAGCCTATTATTATTATTAATAATAAAATTACTTGCAAAATCTGTTTGAAAAATGTATTTAAAAGTGCTGAAATTTAAAGTGAATTGGTTTATAGCCTAGGCTACATATACAGTAACCAAATGAAAATCTAGATTCAATGTTCTGTTCAGCACTGCTATCATGGAAAACGTTTTACACATTGCCTATACATTAGCATACATTTCATGCATTTTCACACAAAAAAATGGGTCTATAGGACAAAATAGCACTATAAAACATAAGAACTATTAACAAAACACACCAAAAAAACTGCAAAACAAAAAAACTTGATTAACATTTAAATGACATTCAAATGAATAGCCTATATGTCATCTAACTATTAAATGTTTTTAAAAATCTGCTTAAAAAAGAAAGGGTAATTTCCTTCCAAACTCAGCAGGCCCATGTATGCATTGAAAGCTCATAATGTTATTGTAAATTGCAATTTAAACTGCACTGAAAATTTGCATATATTGTAAGATATGAACTGCAATTAGTGCTTCATAAATAAATATGTAGCAATTAAACAGCCAAAATGGTCAATCCACTTCCGCATACTGTTATTAAGATGAGTTAAACCTGCAGTCTACATCCAGAAATAAATCATAATACAGCTAATAACCTGTGTCAAGCATCAGTAATGAAGAAGCAGTAGAGTAAACTACCACAAAATTCCTTGTTGCTGGGACCTATTTTTAAAATAGAAACCTCACTAATTTTTTTAACTAAATTATTAATATAGTGTTTAAAAGGCAAACTGTCATCTAGAATATTACCTAAATATTTAAAGGTGGGCAAAAAGTGAACTGTATTGAACACAGCAGGATACCATTAAATATTCTGGGTCCCTCTGTCTACTATTTGATGAAACGCTCAAAGCTTTGAGTATTGTGACTGATGTGCTCATATCTCCCAGCTGCAGAGCAGTGCTGAAACACAGACGGTGTGATCTATGTCTTCTGCACTGCTCTGCTGAGCTCTTTGTTTTGATAGACTGTCTGAATTGGCCACCGTGGTGCTGATGATCAATGTCGACTCTCAGAGGTCAGGGAGGCAGAGGAGATTCACTCTGTCTCTTCTTAGCTAATGAGGCGGAGTGCCTTAAACAGATCCGAAAGCAGTTTATCAAGTCTTGTGCTTAAAGGCTAAAAAAAAAAAGTGAATTGTGGTAGTAACACTGTATCTTTTAAGTCCGTTTGAGTAACATGTAATATGGTATGGTATTACACATGCATATACATATCAGAGTTAGAGATCCAGACCAAGCTTAAAGGGGTCATATGATGTTGCTAAAAAGAACATTATTTTGTGTATTTGGTGTAATGAAATGTGTTTATGCGGTTTAAGGTTCAAAAAACACATTATTTTCCATATAATGTACATTATTGTTTCTCCTCTATGCCCTGCCTTTCTGAAACGAGTCGATTTTTACAAAGCTCATCGGTCTGAAAAAGCGAGGTGCGCTCTGATTGGCCAGCTATCCAGTTTGTTGTGATTGGCCAAATACCTCAAGCGTGTGATGGAAATGTGTACACCCCTACCATACTGTGTTGCCGTGTCCCGGCGCAACAAGACAAAAACATTAAAACCCATTATAAACGAGGCATTTGTTCCATCCAGTGTGGACATAATTATGGATTATAATGACTTATACTGTCTTTTGCCGCATAAACGTAAAACCATGTCTGCATTTGTGATCGGAGAAATGACAAACAACAAGC